AGACGACGCCATAGAGAAGCTGAAGACTCCTCAGATGTGGGCTCCGATACAGACACAGAAGCAAGTGTAATGCAAAGACAACAATCCAGAAAATTGGTAATTGGAAGTGATACAGGTAAGTGTGACTCATAGCTGAACATTTAATAGTATAAATTCCATTAGTGAGGACATATAGCCTGTACTTATGAAGATCGTCCTAGGTCTTAGCAAGGTTTCCCGAGGTCAGATATAGTACCGACTTTCTCAGGATGCAACCGACAACAGTTGCCTTCATCCCAGCTGTCTATGTACTGCTAGGTGACCAGAGGCATCAGGTGAAAGGAAATAGGAGCCCAACCATTTTTGTCCTGCCTGGGGGATTGATCCCCAGTTCCTTGACTGAGTTGAGGACTTAGACCACAGTACTGCAGGATCTACTCCAGGATCCTAGTGCACTAAAGGGCTAGGATCTACTCCAGGATCCTAGTGCACTAAAGGGTCAGGATCTACTCCAGGATCCTAGCACTAATGGGTCAGGATCTACTCCAGGATGCTAGCACACTAATGGGTCAGGATCTACTCCAGGATCCTAGCACTAATGGGTCAGGATCTACTCCAGGATCCTAGCACTAATGGGTCAAGATCTACTCCAGGATGCTAGCACACTAATGGGTCAGGATCTACTCCAGGATCCTAGCACACTAATGGGTCAGGATCTACTCCAGGATCCTAGTGCACTAATGGGTCAGGATCTACTCCAGGATCCTAGTGCACTAATGGGTCAGGATCTACTCCAGGATCCTAGCACTAATGGGTCAGGATCTACTCCAGGATCCTAGCACTAATGGGTCAGGATCTACTCCAGGATCCTAGCACTAATGGGTCAGGATCTACTCCAGGATGCTAGCACACTAATGGGTCAGGATCTACTCCAGGATCCTAGCACACTAATGGGTCAGGATCTACTCCAGGATGCTAGCACACTAATGGGTCAGGATCTACTCCAGGATCCTAGTGCACTAATGGGTCAGGATCTACTCCAGGATCCTAGCACACTAATGGGTCAAGATCTACTCCAGGATCCTAGCACACTAATGGGTCAAGATCTACTCCAGGATCCTAGCACACTAATGGGTCAGGATCTACTCCAGGATCCTAGCACACTAATGGGTCAGGATCTACTCCAGGATCCTAGCACACTAATGGGTCAAGATCTACTCCAGGATCCTAGCACACTAATGGGTCAAGATCTACTCCAGGATCCTAGCACTAATGGGTCAGGATCTACTCCAGGATCCTAGCGCACTAATGGGTCAAGATCTACTCCAGGATCCTAGCACTAATGGGTCAGGATCTACTCCAGGATCCTAGCACTAATGGGTCAGGATCTACTCCAGGATCCTAGTGCACTAATGGGTCAGGATCTACTCCAGGATCCTAGTGCACGAATGGGTCAGGATCTACTCCAGGATCCTAGTGCACTAATGGGTCAGGATCTACTCCAGGATCCTAGCACACTAATGGGTCAAGATCTACTCCAGGATCCTAGCACTAATGGGTCAATATCTACTCCAGGATCCTAGCACTAATGGGTCAGGATCTACTCCAGGATCCTAGCACACTAATGGGTCAGGATCTACTCCAGGATCCTAGTGCACTAATGGGTCAGGATCTACTCCAGGATCCTAGCACACTAATGGGTCAAGATCTACTCCAGGATCCTAGCACTAATGGGTCAGGATCTACTCCAGGATCCTAGCACTAATGGGTCAGGATCTACTCCAGGATCCTAGCACACTAATGGGTCAGGATCTACTCCAGGATCCTAGTGCACTAATGGGTCAAGATCTACTCCAGGATCCTAGCACTAATGGGTCAGGATCTACTCCAGGATCCTAGCACACTAATGGGTCAAGATCTACTCCAGGATCCTAGCACTAATGGGTCAGGATCTACTCCAGGATCCTAGCACTAATGGGTCAGGATCTACTCCAGGATCCTAGTGCACTAATGGGTCAGGATCTACTCCAGGATCCTAGTGCACTAATGGGTCAGGATCTACTCCAGGATCCTAGTGCACTAATGGGTCAGGATCTACTCCAGGATCCTAGTGCACTAATGGGTCAGGATCTACTCCAGGATCCTAGTGCACTAATGGGTCAGGATCTACTCCAGGATCCTAGTGCACTAATGGGTCAGGATCTACTCCAAGATCCTAGCACACTAATGGGTCAGGATCTACTCCAGGATCCTAGTGCACTAATGGGTCAGGATCTACTCCAGGATCCTAGCACTAATGGGTCAGGATCTACTCCAGGATCCTAGTGCACTAATGGGTCAAGATCTACTTCAGGATCCTAGCACTAATGGGTCAGGATCTACTCCAGGATCCTAGCACACTAATGGGTCAAGGATCTACTCCAGGATCCTAGCACTAATGGGTCAGGATCTACTCCAGGATCCTAGCACTAATGGGTCAGGATCTACTCCAGGATCCTAGCACACTAATGGGTCAGGATCTACTCCAGGATCCTATTGCACTAATGGGTCAAGATCTACTTCAGGATCCTAGCACTAATGGGTCAGGATCTACTCCAGGATCCTAGCACACTAATGGGTCAAGATCTACTCCAGGATCCTAGTGCACTAATGGGTCAGGATCTACTCCAGGATCCTAGCACTAATGGGTCAGGATCTACTCCAGGATCCTAGCACACTAATGGGTCAGGATCTACTCCAGGATCCTAGTGCACTAATGGGTCAGGATCTACTCCAGGATCCTAGCACACTAATGGGTCAGGATCTACTCCAGGATCCTAGTGCACTAATGGGTCAGGATCTACTACAGGATCCTAGCACTAATGGGTCAGGATCTACTCCAGGATCCTAGTGCACTAATAGGTCAAGATCTACTTCAGGATCCTAGCACTAATGGGTCAGGATCTACTCCAGGATCCTAGCACACTAATGGGTCAAGATCTACTCCAGGATCCTAGCACTAATGGGTCAGGATCTACTCCAGGATCCTAGCACAAATGGGTCAGGATCTACTCCAGGATCCTAGCACATTAATGGGTCAGGATCTACTCCAGGATCCTAGCACTAATGGGTCAGGATCTACTCCAGGATCCTAGTGCACTAATGGGTCAAGATCTACTTCAGGATCCTAGCACTAATGGGTCAGGATCTACTCCAGGATCCTAGTGCACTAAAGGGCTAGGATCTACTCCAAGATCCTAGCACTAATGGGTCAGGATCTACTCCAGGATCCTTGTGCACTAAAGGGCTAGGATCTACTCCAGGATCCTAGCATATTAATGGGTCAGGATCTACTCCAGGATCCTAGTGCACTAATAGGATCTACTCCAGGATCCTAGTGCACTAATGGGTCAGGATCTACTTCAGGATCCTAGCACTAATGGGTCCAGGATCCTAGTGCACTAATGGGTCAGGATCTACTCCAGATCCTAGCACAAATGGGTCAGGATCTACTCCAGGATCCTAGCACATTAATGGGTCAGGATCTACTCCAGGATCCTAGTGCATAATGGGTCCTACTCCAGTGCACTAATGGGTCAAGATCTACTTCAGGATCCTAGCACTAATGGGTCAGGATCTACTCCAGGATCCTAGTGCACTAAAGGGCTAGGATCTACTCCAAGATCCTAGCACTAATGGGTCAGGATCTACTCCAGGATCCTTGTGCACTAAAGGGCTAGGATCTACTCCAGGATCCTAGCATATTAATGGGTCAGGATCTACTCCAGGATCCTAGTGCACTAAAGGGCTAGGATCTACTCCAGGATCCTAGTGCACTAATGGGTCAGGATCTACTTCAGGATCCTAGCACTAAAGGGCTAGGATCGACTCCAATATCCTAGTACTCCAAAGTTTTTTATTTTTTATCTTTAAGGGGCCGTCAGATTCAAATACAGTGGTACCTCGGAATGCGAGTGTCCCTGTATGCGAGTTTTTCGGAAGACGAGCAGTATTTACTCCAAAAATTTGTCTCGGAAGGCGAGGGTTACCTCGGGACGCGAGTTTGTTGGTACGCGTACAGGCCGACCTAGCGCGTGGTGGTTCGGCGATCGTCGCCCCTCTGCCCCGCCGCCCCTCAGTTTACCATTGTCTCGCGCTCAGTGACTACCCCCACATCAATTCTTCTCGTGGATTTTCAGTGTTTTGTTGGATTTTTGGTGATTTGTCTATACAATTTGTTATTATATATCTCACCATGGGTCCCAAGAAAGCCAGTGGTAAGGATAAAGGCCAGAAAGCTCATGTGAGGATGACAATAGAGGAGAAACGAGATCATTCGGAAGCATGAGAACGGTACACGTGTTGTTGAACTTTGTAGGCAGTACAACAAAGCCACATCAACAATATGCACTATACTTAAGAAGAAAAATGAGATTATGGGTGCTAAAGTGGCAAAAGGAGTAAGAACATTAACAGCACAAAGACCACAAATACTTGAAGAAGTGGAAAAGTTGTTATTAATTTGGATACACGACAAGGAGTTGAGGGGTGATAGTGTTTCGGAGGCCATTATTTGTGAGAAAGCCAGGGTGTTGCACGAAGACCTTCTAAAGAAGACCCCTGCAACGAGTGATGCAGATAAGAAAGAGTTTAAGGCAAGCAGGGGCTGGTTTGAAAAATTTAGAAAGAGAAGTGGTATCTATAGTGTTACAAGGCATGGGGAGGCAGCCAGCTCAGACAAACCAGCCGCTGGACGATTTATTGACGAATTTAAAGAGTTTGCAGAGGCTGAGGGATACCTACCGCAACAAGTGTTTAATTGTGACGAAACAGGACTGTTTTGGAAAAGAATGCCTAAGAGCACATACATTACCAAGGAGGAAAAATCCTTGCCTGGACACAAGCCTATGAAAGATAGGTTTACGCTTGTGCTGTGTGGAAATGCGAGTGGCGATTTGAAAATTAAACCTTTGCTAGTGTATCATTCTGAAAATCCAAGGGTTTTCAAACAGTATAAAGTGCAGAAAACCCATTTGTGTGTGATGTGGAAGTCTAATAAAAAGCATGGGTGACTAGGCTTATTTTTTCGGAGTGGGTGAATGAAGTGCTGTGCCCTGCCATAGAAAAATATCTGCAGGAGAAACAATTGCCACTCAAAGCCGTGCTTCTCCTTGACAATGCTCCTGCTCATCCTCCAGGCTTGGAAGATGATTTGTTGCCTAGATACAATAAATTCCTCACAGTTAAATTCCTTCCTCCTAACACCACTCCTCTAATTCAGCCTATGGACCAGAAAATCATAGCGAATTTTAAGAAACTTTATGAAAGGGCACTTTTCCGGAAATGTTTTGAAGTGACTGAAGCCACAAACCTCACCCTCAAAGAGTTCTGGAGAGGGCATTTTAACATTTGTAGTGCTTTAAAACTCGTTGACAAAGCCTGGCAAGAAGTGACTCAAAGAACCCTGATCTCTGGCTGGAGAAAATTGTGGCCTGAATGTGTGAGAGAACTAGACTTTGAGGGGTTTGAGCCTATAAATGATGCGCCTATTGTTGAGGAAATTGTTAGTCTAGGCCAGCAAATGGGCTTGGAATTGGATGGGCAAAAAATAAAAACTGGTTCGATTTCAATCAAACTTTTTTGTCGTGTTGTTTATGAAAAGGGTTTCATGTGGTCCAAGTTCCAGCATCATAGCATAAATAGGAGGAGGAGATAAAAATATTGAATTATGTGTCAAAAACTTTCCAAAATAGTCAAAACTATCATTAAATACATGTGTTTCTAAAATCATGTCTGTGACTCTCAGCTATCACAATAGCATATATTGAAAAAATATATATAATTAATTTTATTAAAAAAATTAAGTTATTTTTTTTTTTTTTTTTTCTTTTTAGTTTTTTTCATATATGTTTATTGTGCGATATGCATGAAACTTATACACCTGACTGCACGTAAGCCTCTCTGTAAGGGAGTCAATTTTAGAGGAAATTGGTTGATGTCAACCTCAGTCTCAGATGTCAGCACTTTAGACATTATTATTTTCTTATTTATTTTCAAGTAACAAAAATTCTTATAACTCTTTCATTTTTTATTTAATTTACATGAAACTTACACCTTATATATAGCGTGTATGTCTCTAAAATTTGGTATAAGCTTTTGCTTCCTAAGTTCATTTATTGATTTTATAATAGCAGTATACATGATATATTTGAATAATTTTTTGGGGTAACTTTAACTATTTGCATTAGGAAAACTAAAGATGTTTTGGAAAATCCCTTCCTACAGATCCTTTATTCTATGCTAATGTGAGAGAAAAGTGTCA